GGGTTTCCAGATGGACACTTCTTCCATCAGCGCTTTAATTACACTGATTTAATATTTATTTTCTTTCTAATATATGAATTTCTTTCATGAGCTTCTTTTAGGAGGATGTTTTTCTATTCCTTAATGGTTTTATTTTTCCTGTTTTTAAAACCATTTTTACTTAAGTCTAATTTCATTCAATTATTGTCAGAAAATGTGGCTTGTATAATATCTGCTTTTTAAAAAACTTTCAGTGAATATTCTTTATAGTCCTGCATATGATTAATTTTTGTTATAGTTCCCTGAATGTTTGAGAAAAAAATAAAGGATGCTCTCTGTAAAGACAGCTTGACATATATCTATAAAAAACAATATTGTTCAGATACTCTGTATCATTGTTTTTGCAATTGATTTATTCAAGACTGAGGTACTGTTTTAAAGCCTCCCACTCTTAGTACAATTATTTCCCTTTGCCATTTTTGGGCTGTACATTTCAATTCTGTGTTATTTGATTCTTAAGAGTTATGAGTTTTTTATGTTCATTGTGAATTGTGCCCTTTATCGAAATAAGATTTTTAAATCCCATTTAATGCACGTGGTCTTAAATATGACTTTGTCATATATCACTATTGCCAGGCCTGCTTTAATTTATGTTTACTTAACCATTTAGTTTCAATATTTCTCTTTTAAAATATTTTAGTGGAGGCAAACAGAAGAAGAAGATAATTTAGGAGTGTTTTTCATACACATCATGGGTCTTTTTTTAATTCTTTTTGAAAGTTCCTTTTATATACAATAGGCAGTGGGATTTTGAAAAAACTAATCTGAAAGTTTTTGTCATTTAATAAGGCTGTTTAACCTATTTATACTCAAGACAATTTTTGGTGTTACTTCTGTCATTTTGGTTTTGTGCTATTTTCCATGCTTCACTGCTTTTCTTTCTTTTTTTCTCTCCCCCTTCCCCCATCCCTCCCTTCTTTCCTTCCTACCTTCCTTCCTTCCTTCTTTCCTTCCTTCCCTTTCTCTCTTTCTTTCTTTCTCTTTTATGCAACATGGAGTGACCATATTTTCTTTGATTTTTTTTCTACAATGTTTATAATTCTACTAGTGTTTCCCTTTTAGTTCTTAAAAAAAATTTTAACCTACATTTCCTCATCAAAAATAACAGCTAAAATTGAGTGTTTCCTGTATGACAGGCACTTCTCATACACAATAAACCGCTAAATTATAGCAATCATAGAATGACATAGGTAATGCCATTTTATATACATTTTAAAGATGAGAAAACTGAGTTACAAAGAGGTTAAGTACAGAATTCACACGACTCTTCTAGAATCCGCAACCAAACTTGGAACCCAGGCAGCCTGACTCAAGAGCCTGCTGTCCTAGTCATCTTGCTATTCTGCCTTTCCATTTTCCAGAATTAAATAATATTATGTTCATGTAAGTTGAAAAGTTAGTATTTTGTTTTACTTTATTCCTTACTTACACATTTCTTTTTACTTTCGTTTTAGAACCAGATGATGAGATTAACATTTGATAATATGTGTTTTCTCCCTAAAAAATTATTTTTTATGTTTGTATTATGTAGTGACTGTGTTTTCCAATGGTCATTTGGACAAAACTTGTTTAACTGAACTGTCCTTTGATATCATTCTTTAGTTTGATTTGGGGCAGCTGAAATTTGTCTTCAAGTTATTATTGTCAATTAAGATAAGGATGATATGTTTTCTGAGCTCTTGCCTAACTGAGCATGTATGAGCAGAAACTCATGAGCAAAACCTTGGCTGGTTATAGGTTTACTCGATTATAGTCCTCTGTACTTTCAAACTCTAAGCAGGGCCTTTGTGTTTGTGTGTATACCATTAGTTAGCCTCCTTGTCTCCTCAGGGGTGTGAGACTACCACCTAATCTCTAGTGCTGGTGCATCACAACAATGCATGGCATTCATTAGCACTTGACAGACAATCAGAAGACTGAAGTACAAAGGTTTGGTCAGATAAATGGGCCTTAGCTGAATCTCATCTTGAACCTGGGGTAGCCATGATCCTTCTAATTCCTTTTCTTAGTATTGTGTCAAATGCGGGCTCCAAGAAATACCACCAGAACAACCTGTTTCTAACACAGACCTAAGTGTATTGCGTACCTTGGTGTGTTACATAGAATAATGCCCACCGCCCACCCCAAGATGTTCATATTCTAATCCCTGGAACCTGTGAGGATGTTACTTTATGTGGCACAAAGGACTTTGCAGATGTGATTAAGTTAAGCCTCTTGAGATGGGGAGATTATGTTGAACTATTAGACTGGGTCCAATGTAATCACAAGGGTCCTTAGCCATGAACGAGTGAGACAAAAGAGTCAGAGTCAGAGAAGGAGATTTGACCACGGAAGCCAGGGTAGGAGTGATGCGATTGCTGGCTTTGAATGTGGAGGAAGACACCATGGGATAAGGAAAGCAGCTGACCTCCAGAAGCTGGAAAAGGCAAGGAAATGAATTACCTTATAGAGCCTCCAGAAGGAGCGCAGTCATGCCAAGACCTTGAGTTTTGCACAGTAAAACCCATTTTGGACTTTTGACCTGTGGAACTGTAATACAATAAACTCGTGTTGTCTTCATCCACCAAATTTGTGGTAATTTGTTAGAGAAGTGATAGGAAACTAATATATTTGATAAAGGAGAATGTGACAGAATCTTGATAGTGTCTCAAAGGGGGAAGGGCAAAGCTGGAGTATTTATTAAGACTTTAAAGTTTTGTTAAGTTCAGGTATTTTAATGAAGGGGCTTGATTGATTAGCATTGGGTAAAGATCATGATATAATGGTTAAAGATTGGTGGACAGTAAGGCAAGAAACTTGAGGAGAGGGGTTCAAAGGGTCTTGGATCAAGTCATTGATACCTTCTATTGAAGAGTTGATGAGATGTTCCTGAAAAATAATAAATTTATGAAAAATAAATTTATTTGTAATTTCTATTTTCCTGGGCAAGAGTTTCCTAGGACATGAAACTTGTGTTGATGCAGACAGGGAATAATAAATTCATATTAATCTAGGAAACAGGCTTTGTGGAGGCAGATGATTTGGGGTCTCAGTTGCAAGGAGGATATGATTCAGGGTCAAATTTTCAGGTATCCCTGAAGCTATAGGAAAGGCCACAGAATCATCTGGTAATCTTTTCTTTCCTTGGAACTTTTTCGTTTTCCTTGTAAGTCAAATGTTTCCATAGAGTACAAGTAGATTTTAGTCTATTCCTCCCCAGATGCTAAGATTTTTACTTAACTTAGGAAATTCTTTCTCTTATTTCCCAGTGTATTGGTTTTCTATTGCTGCGGTAACAAATTATCACAAATTTGGTAGCTTAAACAATTAAAAAAATTAACTTACAGCTCTTTCGGTGAGAAGTTCAACATGGATAAAAATCACTGGGCAAAAATCAAGGTATTGGGGCTGTGTTCCTTCTGGAGGATGGTGGAGGAGAATCTATTTCCTTGGCTTTTCCAGCTTTTAGAGGACACCGCATTCCTCAACTTTTTACCCCTTTACCCCCCAGCATGGCAGGCTGAGTCCTTTGCATGTGGTTCTGGTCCTTTGTGGCTGGGGAATGGTCTCTGCTTTTAAGTACTTTTGATTAGATTGGCCCCAACTGGTTAATGCAGGATAATCCGGCCACCTCAAATAGACCTCAGTCTTAAACATACCTGTGAAGTCCCTTTTGCCATGTAAGGTAACATATTGACAGGGTCTGAAGATTAGGGCATGGACATCTTTGGGGGAGCCATTATTCTGCCTAGCACCTCTGTAGTAAATCTTTTTCACACATAAGCACTTCCTCTACCTTTTGAAGGCATTACTCCATGTTTCATAAGATATATTATGAATCTTTTATAAATATTTTCATAGGAGTCATGTTTGTTTCATTTGTCTAGCAGACATGTTATTTGTTAAATAACAAGGTGGGCAGTTTTTCCTCGGCCCTCTTAATACCTATTTGAATGTGTTAATACCTATTTGATCTTTAGCTGGAAGGACGATTGTGTGCACTGACGTTCTTGTGTTGGAGAAGGACCGCTTCCCTTTCACTGGTTACTGAAGTCACCGTGTCCCTGTTGTTAGGGTATGCAGTGTGGTTGTGAGGCAGTCTCTTAACATCTTTATGACTAATTCCACTGTTTGGGTTATTGAAAGTATCTTCAGAGGTCTTAAAGATTGTTGACCAAGAACCCTATTTTCAATGGTTACCCCATTTAGGTATCTTTCTGCATTTTAAATGAGTGTTTAAATGGGAAGGTAGGGTAGGGCCAATCAGTTGCTACCAGTTAGTGGTTCTCTTCGCTTAGCATTCTCCCTGGATCAGTTGCTTTCTATTTTCCTTCAATATGCTCCTAACTCTCCTTATATTGCTTGATTCTAAAGTAATCTGCACTGCTGAAGCTCTGTCTCATGTTCCCGAGTGTCCTGCATGTACTCTGTCTTCATGGTAACAGCATTCTTTACATGCAACTGTCATGGGAAGGATGTTGTCTTCCCCTGCTCTTTTGCTTTCAGTGCAACTTGAAAACAGATATTCTAGTGTGCAGACACAGGCAGGCATGATGCTTCCTGTTCAGCCTCGCTGAACTTCTTCCGGGGAGTAGGAAGAGCACCCCTTTTAAATCACTTAATGCCCACGGTCAGGCAGATTAGGTTAACAAAAATACTTCTAGGGGCTTCCCTGGTGGCACAGTGGTTGAGAGTCCGCCTGCTGATGCAGGGGACATGGGTTCGTGCCCTGGTCCGGGAAGATCCCACATGCCGCGGAGTGGCTAGGCCCGTGAGCCATGGCCGCTGAGCCTGCGCGTCCGGAGCCTGTGCTCCGCAATGGGAGGGGCTGCAACATTGAGAAGCCCATGTGCCGCAAAAAAAACCCCAAAAACTACTTCTAAACTATAAGGAGTTAGATGAATATAAGCTTTGTTGCTGCTTTCACCTATTGTTATTATCAAAAAATTTTAATATACACTTCTGTTTCATCTCTGCTCCAGACTCACCTTGACGTTCTGGAAAAAAGCGTGAACCCCAAGCAGGTCTACTTCCGTCAGGAGGTTCTCTGCCAGACGCTAGGAGGGAATTCATGTCCATTGGTGACCATCACTGCCATGCCCGAGTCTAACAGCGCTGGCCACCTGGAGCAGCTCCGTGAGTAAACGGCAGACCCTCTTCTTTGAAGATTTGGTGGTGAGGGTGGGGGTCTTCAGAGTCTTGGAAGCACTCTGTCCCTTGGAGATCAGAAGCTCCATAAAGTGTTGGGGACTGGTCTACCTTTATAGAAACCCAACTCTTCTTGATATGACAAAAGGGTAAATATTCATGTTGCTCTGTTATCAAAGGGAGAAAACAATAAATTGCAAATTGTCAGAAAGATGAAATGACTTGTTGGAATTGAGAGCAGTTTACAAGTGACGGTCACTTCTGCTAAAACAGAACCAGGACTGGAAAATGAATCACATTTTGCGACTTCTAATCCAGGGACTTTTCTCACAATGCTTACTCTCGTTATACTACACTCACGGTCAGTCAAGGTTAGGAAAGGAAGGCAGTTGAGGGTTGGAGCACTGGCTGAAGAATTCCCTTGATGACTTGGGTTACAGTTTGGATCAGAAGAGCTGACAGTGTGGAGGAGGCTCTAGCCAAGAACTGTAAAACCAAACCAAAACACACAGGCATACACACACACACAGACACACTCTCAGAGACACATGAATGCCCATTTAATATTAGAGTCCTGAGCACAAATGTGATTTGCTTGTAACCAACCAGCTTTTTCTTTTTTTTAAATATCTTTATTGGGGTAAAATTGCTTTACAATGTTGTGTTAGTTTCTGCTGTATAACAAAGTGAATCAGCTATATGTATACATATATCACCATATACCTTCCCACTTGCATCTCACCCCACCCTCCCTATCCCACCCCTCTAGGTGGTCCCAAAGCACAGAGCTGATCATCCTGTGCTATGCAGCTGGTTCCCACTAGCTATCTATTTTACATTTCGTAGTGTATATATGACAATGCTACTCTCTCACATCGTCCCAGCTTACCCTTCCCCCTCCCCGTGTCCTCAAGTCCATTCTCTACGTCTGTGTCTTTATTCCTGTCCTGCCCCTAGGTTCATCAGAACCATGGTTTTTTTTTTTTTTTTTTTTTTTTGATTCCAGATATATGTATTAGCATACGGTACTTGTTTTTCTCTTTCTGGCTTACTTCACTCTGTATGACAGACTCTCAGTCCATCCACCTCACTACAAATAGTGCAATTTTGTTTCCTTTTATGGATGAGTAATATTCCATTGTATATATGTACCACATCTTCTTTATCCATTCATATGTTGATGGACACTTAGGTTGCTTCCATGTCCTGGCTGTTGTAAATAGTGCTGCAATGAACATTGTGGTACATGTCTCTTTTTGAATTATGGTATTCTCAGGGTATATACCCAGTAGTGGGATTGCTGGATCATATGGTAGTTCTATTTTTAGTTTTTTACGGAACCTCCATACTGTTCTCCACAGTGGCTGTATCAATTTATATTCCTACCAACAGTGCAAGAGGGTTCCCTTTTCTCCACACCCTCTCCAGCATTTATTGTTTGTAGATTTTTTGATGATGACCATTCTGACCTGTGTGAGGTGATACCTCATTGTAGTTTTGATTGGCATTTCTCTAATGATTAGTGATGTTGAGCATCCTTTCATGTGTTTGTTGACAATCTATATATCTTCTTTGGAGAAATGTCTATTTAGATCTTCTGCCCACTTTTGGATTGGCTTGTTTGTTTTTTGATATTGAGCTGCATGAGCTCCTTACATATTTTGGAGATTAATCCTTTGTCAGTTGCTTCGTTTGCAAATATTTTCTCCCATTCTGAGGGTTGTCTTTTCGTCTAGTTTATGGTTTCCTTTGCTGTGCAAAAACTTTTAAGTTTCATTAGGTCCCATTTGTTTATTTTTGTCTTTATTTAAATTTCTCTAGGAGGCAGGTCAAAAAGAATCTTGCTGTGATTTATGTCACACAGTGTTCTACCTATGGAATCCTCTAAGAGTTTTACAGTGTCTGGCCTTACATTTAGGTCTTTAATCCATTTTGACTTTATTTTTGTATCCGTGTTAGGGAGTGTTCTAATTTCATTCTTTTACAGTTTTCCCAACACCAGTTATTGAAGAGGCTGTCTTTTGTCCATTGTATATTCTTGCCTCCTTTATCAAAGATAAGGTGACCATATGTGTGTAGGTTTATCTCTGGGATTTCTATCCTGTTCCATTGATCTATATTTCTGTTTTTGTGCCAGTACCATACTGTCTTGATACCTGTAGCTTTGTAGTATAGTCTGAAGTCAGGAAGCCTGATTCCACCAGCTCCGTTTTTCTTTCTCAAGATTGCTTTGGCTATTCGGAGTTTTTTGTGTTTCCATACAAATTGTGAAATTTTTTGTTCTTGTTCTCTAAAAAATGCCATTGCTAATTTGATAGGGATTGCATTGAATCTGTAGATTGCTTTGTGTAGTATAGTCTTTTTCACAATGTTGATTCTTCCAATCCAAGAACATGGTATATCTCTCCATCTGTTTGTATCATCTTTAATTTCTTTCATCAGTGTCTTATAGTTTTCTGCATACAGGTCTTTTGTCTCCTTAGGTAGTTTTATTCCTAGGTATTTTATTCTTTTTGTTGCAGTGGTAAATGGGAGTGTTTCCTTAATTTCTCTGTCAGATTTTTCATCATTAGTGTATAGGGATGAGAGAGATTTCTGTGCAGTTATTTTGTATCCTGCTACTTTACCAAATTCATTGATTAGCTCTAGTAGTTTTCTGGTAACATCTTTAGGATTCTCTATGTATAGTATCATGTCATCTGCAAACAGTGACAATTTTACTTCTTCTTTTATGATTTGGATTCCTTTTTTTTTTCTTCTCTGATTGCCGTGGCTAAAACTTCCAAAACTAGTTGAATAATAGAGGTGAGAATGGGCAACCTTGTCTTCTTCCTGATTTTAGAGGAAATGGTTTCAGTTTTTCACAATTGAGGACAATGTTGGCTGTGGGATTGTCATATATGGCCTGTATTATGTTGAGGTAGGTTCCCTCTATGCCTACTTTCTGGAGAGCTTTTATCATAAATAGGTGTTGATTTTTGTCAAAAGCTTTTTCTGCATCTATTGAGATGATCCCATGGTTGTTATCCTTTAGTGTATTAATATGGTGTATCACATTGATTGATTTGCATATTGAAGAATCCTTGCATTCCTGGGATAAACCCCACTTGATCATGGTGTATGATCCTTTCAGTGTGCTGTTGGATTCTATTTGCTAGTATTTTGTTGAGGATATTTACATCTATATTCATCAGTGATATTGGCCTGTAGTTTTCTTTTTAGTGACATCTTTGTCCCGTTTTGGTGTCAGGGTGATGGTGGCCTCATAGATGAGTTTGGGGTGTTCCTCCCTCTGCTATATTTTGGAAGAGTTTGAGAAGGATAGGTGTTAACTCTTTTCTCAGTGTTTGATAGAATTTGCCTGTGAAGCCTCTGGACCTGTTCTTTTTTTTGTTGGAAAATTTTTAATCCCAGTTTCCATTTCACTGCTTGTGATTGATCTATTTATATTTTCTGTTTCTTCCTGGTTCAGTTGGAAGGTTGTTCTTTTCTAAGAATTTGTCCATTTCTTCCAGGTTGTCCATTTTATTGGCATATAGTTGCTTGTAGTAATCTCTCATGATCCTTTGTATTTCTGCAGTGTCAGTTGTTCTCCTTTTTCATTTCTAATTCTGTTGATTTGAGTCTTCTCCCTTTTTTTCTTGATGAGTCTGGCTAATGGTTTATCAATTTTGTTCATATTCTCAAAGAACCAGCTTTGGGATTTATGGAACTTTGCTGTTGTTTCCTTCATTTCTTTCTCATTTATTTCTGATCTGATCTTTATGATTTCTCTCCTTTTGCTAACTTTGGGGTTGTTTTGTTCTTTCTCTAATTGCCTTAGGTGTAAGGTTAGATTATTTATTTCAGATTTTTCTTGTTTCCTGAGGTAGGATTGTACTGCTATACACTTCCCTCTTAGAACTGCTTTTGCTGTATCCCATAGGTTTTGGGTTGTCATGTTTTCATTGTCGTTTGTTTCTTGGTATTTTTTGATTTCCTCTTTGATTTCTTCAGTAATCTCTTGGTTAATAAGTAGCATACTGTTTAGCCTCCATGTGTCTGTATTTTTTACAGATGTTTTCCTGGAATTGATATCTAGTCTCATGGTGTTGTGTTTGGAAAAGATATTTGCTATGATTTCAGTTTTCTTAAATTTACCAGCGCTTGATTTGTGACCCAAGATATGATCTATCCTGGAGAATGTTCCATGAGCACTTGAGAAGAATGTGTATTCTGTTGTTTTTGGATGGAATGTCCTATAAATGTCAATTAAGTCCATCGTGTTTAATGTATCATTTAAAGCTTGTTTTTTCTTAGTTATTTTCATTTTGGATGATCTGTCCATTGGTGAAAGTGGGGTGTTAAAGTCCCTTACTATGATTGTGTTACTGTCAATGTCCCCTTTTATGGCTGTTAGCATTTGCCTTATATGTTGAGGTGCTCCTATGTTGGGTGCATAAATTTTTACAATTGTTAAATCTTCGTCTTGGATTGATCCCTTGATCATTTTGTAGTGTCCTTCTTTGTCTCTTTTAATAGTCTTTATTTTAAACTCTCTTTTGTCTGATATGAGAATTGCTACTCCAGGTTTCTTTTGATTTCCATTTTCATGGAATATCTTTTTCCATCCCCTCACCTTCAGTCTGTATGTGTCCCTAGCTCTGAAGTGGGTCTCTTGTAGGCAGCATATATATGGGTCTTGTTTTTGTATCAGCCAGTCTGTGTCTTTTGATTGGAGCATTTAATCCTTTTACATTTAAGGTAATTATCGATATGTACGTTAGTATTATGATTTTCTTAATTGTTTTGGGTTTGTTTTTGTAGGTCTCTTCCTTCTCTTGTGTTTCCTGCCTAGAGAAGTTCCTTGAGTATTTGTTGTAAACCTGGTTTGGTGGTGCTGAGTTCTCCTAACTTTTGCTTGTCTGTAAAGGTTTTAATTTGTCTGTTGAATCTGAATGACATCCTTGCTGGGTAGGATAATCTTGGTTGTAGGTTTTTCCCTTTCA